TCTTGACAGCTGAGTGGTCCTCTGCAATCAGCAGTGTTTTCAGCCACCGCCCACCAGCCTCAGGAAGGGCGGCTGTGCAGGGCAGAGGACACAGCTGACACCAGCACCACCTGGGCCACGGGCAGCGCTGGCCACGGGAGAGCACCAGGCAGGCTGGAGCAGGGCAGGTGACAGAATCCAGTCGCCATTTCTCCAGAACAGAGCTAGGCAGAGGGCCAGAGTCCAGGGTAAACCAGGGACCACATCAAATGAAAGCTTTGGCTGAGAGTCAGAGCCAAAGCAGAGGAAGGGAGGCACCGTGCCCCAGGAGGACCTGCCACCCAAGCTTACATTCTGCCTGGGGGAGGGGCCTTCCAGACACTTCCTGTTGGATTAGGAGCCTAGAAATTGCTCCTCCCATGACAGGAGTAGGTAGGTAGGCAGGCAGGTAGGCAGGCAGGTAGGCAGGCAGGTGGATGTTGCATTGGTAGGATTACCTTGACAGCGCACAAAGCCAAGAGAAAAGAAGGGCCACTCCTGAGGATGACCCCAGCAGCTCTGCACAGGGACACGGTTCACTTCTGATCCTATCTCCCTTTAAAAACCAAGGGCACAAATAGAACATTGTAATCCCAACAATGGCCTGGACAGAAGCCAGCCATGTCAAATAGATGATGATTTCCCCCTATTGTTTGCTTCTGGCTCTAGATGGCACATCCCCATACTCACAAAATCAGGAGCCCGGGCTTGTCGCCCTTTCTACTGGTGAGAGCCGACAGATATCAGCGCCGTCTGAGTGACAGCGACGTGGCGCCCCAGAAAAGCGAGCCAAATGCTCTTGTATTGTACCCAGACCTCTTTGGGGGGCAGGCAGCAAGGCAATGCCAAATTCCCAGTGGGCTTGAGCCTTTCTGGCTGATTGCCAGAGTCAGTGGTGGGGAGCACGTCATACCCCCTCAGTTCATTTCTACCCAAAGGAAAGTTTGAAAAGCTCTCCATCTCTAAAATTAGTCCTTATCAATGATTGTCCAAAAAAATGTGTTCAAGAGTGATTGTACCCACTCGCCTGGCGGAGCAGAACCAAACTTTTGTGTCTCATCTTGGAAAACGTGTTGGTGCCGAAGGGACCCGTGACAATGGCCTGGCGAGCCTTTTGAGAATTCATGTGAGTCATCTGTCTCCCCTAGAGTGACTAGAACAGGGCTTCGCACACAGTAGGCATGCGGGAACAGGTGGCTTGAAAGCATTCCTCTAATGGGCTTCAAAAAAAAAAGAAAAGAAAACCTCAAAGTCAGACGAGGTAAAAGCCCACCTTTCAGAAAACCACCAGATGAGCTCTCCCTGATTGTAACCACTGTCAGGCAGCTTCCCTCCCTGGTTTATCTATCTGGCGAGGATTTAGAATGTGGCACCTGTTGGCAATCCACTCTTTAATAGTTGGAGGCATTTCACATTGACATGCATGTTGTCAGATGACAGGGGTTGGTCACTTCTCAATCACCTCCGTCTCCCCACGGTGCCTGGAAGAGTGTCTTGGTCACAGAAGTGACCCAACGTGTGACTGCTAAATAGCCAATTTCATTTTTAATTTCCGAGACAGCTCCGGGAGGGGAGGCAAAGAGGCCTGATACAATTAATAGACAGAGACGGATTTCTTTGCTTCAGCAAATGAGCTGCGGAGCGGAGAGTCACAGAGCCCTACCCTGGCCACAAAAGGTCCACCGCTGGCCGAGGCCCCATCACTGACACCTGTTTGCTCGTGTCCTAAAACTGCCACCCAGACATTCCTTCCTGCCGCTGAGCCACTTGCACTTTCAAATGCTTCTAAAATAGAAGCCGAGTCGGAAGATCATGTCCATCAATAGAGCCCCCGGCCCCTCTCCCAGGGCCTCCAGATCCCTTTCATGGAACCAGAATCTGACTTGAAAAGAACTCGGTGAGCGTGGAGTTCTAATTCCACCTGGCTCAGGAGTCCCAGGGAAAACATCTCTAATATGTGGTCACCTGTCCTTTGATTTAACGCCGCTTCTGCCAAAGAGCCACCATCTCCTGACAGCCGTTCCATTTCAGAGCCCCAATTGTTGGAATATCCTTCCTTGGGCTGAGCAGAAATCTGCCTGTTGAAACTGCCTCCCATAGGTTCTAATTTTGCCCTCCCGAGCCACATAAAATACATCTTAATGCCTTTTCCACAGGACAATCCTTTAAGGGGCTGAAGACAGTTATTCTTCACGATTCGTCCAAATAAGACCCTGATCGTAATGAACTGGGAGCTGCGCTTTCCCGTCCGGTGGGTCCAGGAGCCTCCCTCTGGCAGAGCCCCGCCGGTGATACATGTTGATAGATGTCCGCACTTTATTTACCACAGACAGACAGAGCCCCTGGTTCCTTCGCCTGGTAACAACCCGAGGCCGTTCATCACCCACTTGCTCCTTTTCGAAATTCACTCTGCAGCAAGCACTTTTAAAGTCATGCACGTAATGCATTTAAAGAGTGCTTTCTGCACAGAGCCATTTGCTCAGCCCCGGCACTAAGTGCGAGATGGAACAGTATTTCAGCGATGTCCTCCTGCCCCCAGAGCCCGTGTCGAATGTACACCAGAAATGTATCTGTAACTATACATGACTGGGGCTCTAAATGCAGTGCTTTGTTAAATGTTCATTTGCTGATTAAAATGCATCTTGCAAAGAAAGTGCATTAGTAATGCAGAATCTAGTCCAAAAATACGTATTATGTAATGCACATTTTTTAATAATGCAGGCAATCTCGGGGTATCTATATTAGTGGATCGGCTCCGGGCTGCCAGCTCCATTACAGGCAGAAAGTACTCCTTTTGCAAAACGAAGTGCTTTCTTACGTACACTAAAGAATCATAATCCACCTCGTTGCTGACAGCTGGCATTTGTCTCCCTTGAAAGGGCATTCAGCAGCACCCACATATTCCTGAGTTGTTCCCAATGTGCCCTGAGAACCACCTGAATGATGTCTTTACGTTCCACTCACTGTCAGGGGGGCTGAGCTGATTGAAGAAAGAAAGCGGGTGGGTCAGTGTGAGCAGAGCCTTTGGAAATGTCTCAGGTTGGGGCTGAGAGACCAAGGTTTGAGACCTGCAGCTCCACAGGGCCCTGTCCCGTGTCCCCGATCCCATCCATATGATGACTGGAGCCATCCAGACACCTGTGATAATAAAACCCTTTCAGTTGCTCTGCAAAGTGGTGAGGAGGACAGCACAACGAGAATGCAGACGTCTGTCCTTTTACGAGGTTTGCAGCCAATCCCACTTTATTAGGCCAATCAGTATTTTAACGCTACAAACTAACTCGAAGAAAACAAGATGTGAGATAGACACAGCCAAGAAGACAGGGCAGGAGCATTCAAGACCATCCCCAGAGAAGATGCAGAAACAAAACCTCCACACGTCAAAACAGCCGCTAGGATCTCACTAAGGTCTTAACTCTGGGGTCAGCAGCTCTAAGGCAGGCATGGTGCGCAAGGGAGAAGGGTGAGCCGCACCACACTGAGGAATGGCTGTGGGCGCAGGAGCACTGCCGGGAGGGGATGCCTGGCGGACCGCCTCGGAAGGAAGAGGCGCTTCAAGTTTCCCCCACGTTGGTTCAAAGACAAGAAGAACCACCTGTCGCACCTGTAAAGCCTTGCTGTTGCTTCCACAGATTCTAGGAAGATGGTTTTGCCCTGAGGTATACCACCGCTGGACCTGTCACAAGGGCAAAGGTGATGCTCCGTATTTTAACCGGGAGGGCATGCACAACCCAGAAGCAGCAGTCAGGTTACAGCTGGAACACCAGAGCTTCCGAAGCACCATCCTGCCTGCGCAACGACCACTCCAGGGATCCCCCTCCAGGAGGACATGGAGCTCATTTGATTCTCCAGGGCTGAGAAAGAGATGGACTCATTTCCTTTGGGGTTCAACGACATGACCTAGGGTGTCGAGCGGTCCCTTAGCCCTAATGCTCTGGTTGATCCAATAATTTTCTCACTAGAATGCACACCGGGTTAAACAATGTTGGTGGGTAAGGAGGGAGTCCTGAGTGGTTTAATGCTCTGAGTAACAGCAGATTAATCCTAAGTATCCTTTCCTTGATGTAAGATTTTCCTTTCTTTCCTTTTCTTCTTCCTACTCTATCTTCAGCACCTAGAACAGAGCTTGGCATGTGCTAGGCACTCAACATTTGTTGAATGAACTCACTTATTGAATGAACTCACTTCGTTGAAAACCTATTTATGAAAAGAGCTTTGAGTGGTACCCAGCGGTTTCCTTGATAGCTGATCGCCCTGCAGCGCCCCCCAGGGGCATACAATTGGCTGCACCTACTGAATAGCACAGATATTAACTAGTGGTTCCAGCTAATTAGACTTTCGGCACATGTTCTCAGCTAGAGTTCAGGGTGGTCCACCAACGGGCTTGGGGTCGTGTAAACTATCACGCCGTCTGTCTGTGGGGGTCCTTCTTGGGGAAGATGCTCATCTATCCATTAGGTAACTAATTAGTCTCTTGAGACCGCATTGGTGGTTGGGGGGATTGGAAACTGCTCAGATTACGGTCACTGTACCAGGTCTGCCAGAGGTGATCTCATGATTAATGATTGCCTGAGGTTACCATGCTCAGACTATTGAGCCCCTGGAAAATGCCCGGAACCGCACCGTTAATACTGACGTACAGAAGCTCATTCCTCCGGAATATCCGCAATTTTGCGGTCTGGTTTTCAGCTGCTTCGGGCTTTGTTCAACTTATCGATAACCCTGGAGAAGGTGGGGAGCGGTACGGACCCCACGGAGAACCCATGCCGAGCTGCGCAAGCACTCTAACCTGTAGCTAGCTCGCTCGCTCACTCCTTGGCACCCGCCAGGCCCCCAGCCGCTCCCATCGCCCAAATCCTTTCAAACAAGGTTCCCTCCTGCCACCTGCCGGCCCATTAGGGTCTACGCCTCGGGCTCGGCGCCACTGCGCAACTCACGCGGAGCCGCCCCCGCCTCCCTACTGCACATGCCCGGCAGAAGTCCGGGCGCGCAACTTTGCAGAACCTCTCCGCCCCATTTGTCTTCGCCTCAGTCTCCTCTTTCCTCTCCCAGGCGAGAGGACCAGCGGAGGCACCTCTCCCGAGTCTTAGGCTGCAGAGTCTAAGACTTAGAGAGAGGAGCCTGGGAGGAGATAGACTTTTTCTCCCCTTTTCCCATCCCTTCTTTTTGCCCAGAGAGGCAAACAGAGGCGCGGAGCTTTAGAAAGTTGCGTGGTCAAGAAGGTAGGTGCTTCCTTTTTTCTCCTCGCGCCGAGGTGGGGCTGGGACCTCCGGACCCAGCTTCTTAACCTCGCGAGGAGCACCTTTTTCGGCTCTAGCAGCCGATGCTCTTCGGAGCTGCTCTCTGCAGAGCCAGAGGGTGGGTCAGATTCGCCGAGTGTGTGTGAGGATGGATCGCAGATCCCGAGCTCAGCAAGGGCGCCGAGCTCGCCACAGTTACAACGATCTGTGCCCACCCCTAGGCCGCCGGGCAGCCACCGCACTCCTCTGGCTCTCCTGCTCCATCGCTCTCCTTCGCGCCCTCGCCACCTCCAGCGCCCGCGCCCAGCAGCGCGCGGCTGCCCAGCGCCGGAGCTTCCTTAACGCCCACCACCGCTCCGCCGCCCAGGTATTCCCCGAGCCCCCCGAATCCTACCACGAGCACGAGGAGGCAGACCTCGAGCTCTCCCTCCCCGAGTGCCTGGAGTACGAGGAAGAGTTCGACTACGAATCCGAGACCGAGACCGAGTCTGAAATCGAGTCGGAGACCGACTTCCAGACCGAGCCTGAGACCGCCCCCGCCACTGAGCCCGAGACCGAGCCCGAGGACGAGCGCGGCCCCGTGGTGGCCAAGCGCCGCACCTTCGACCAGTCTCTCACTGAGCGTCTCAACGCCCTGAGGTTGCAGAGCCCCGACGCCTCCCCGAGTCGCGCGCAGCCCAGCACTCGGGAGTCTGAGAGCCCCAGACGAGGGGAGGAGCCCGAGCCCGAGGACAAGGATCCGAGGGACCCCGAGGAGTCTGAGCAGCCAAAGGAGAAGCAGCGGCGGCGCCGCTGCAAGCCGAAGAAGCCCACCCGCCGCGACCCATCTCCGGAGTCTCCTTCCAAAAGGGGACCCATCCCCATCCGGCGTCACTAATGGAGGACGCGCCCCAGATTCTCCTTGTTTTCTTTGACCCAGGTTGGTGACCAACCGCTAAACTGGGGAGTCTGGGGTCGGTGCAGGAGAGGCGGGAGGAAGGGAGGGAGAAGCAAAGGCAGGTTAGAAGGAAGGCGGGAAGAGAGCGGGCTCAGCTAGCTAGCCCTGGAGGCAGGGGCGCAGGGCGAGCTGGGAAGAGCTCCGAGAATCTCCCCCGGGGCGCTGGCGGGCGCCCGGGTGGCCAAAGGCCTGTTGGCCGGAGGGGCGGCGGGGCGCTCCTCGCGCCCCTCTGGAGACAGCCTGAGGTCTCCGAGCTGGTGCCCAGGATGCACGACTGAATTCCGGGAGCACCCCAGGTTTCGAGCTGCACACCCAGAAGGCACGGGTAAGTACTTGTTTTACGTGCTTTTTTCCCTCCTAGAGTAAGTAGTCTCAAACCAGTTGGCCTTGGCGGGTGCCAGAAACGTGTTTCAGAGGTGCTCGCGCCAACTTTCAGAAAGCCGAGCCGCCCGGCTGTAGCGACACTGTTGCAATGTGCGAATACTAACCAGGCTGGGATTGGGCGACAACTCCGGAGACTGTCGGCTCCCGGGGAAAGTTGCGCGCGCACGCGCGCCGCTTAAAACACTCAGAGCCTAGAGCCCAGGTCCCGTCGCTGTCAATTTGGAGCCGCCGGACCTCGGCGCCAGTGCCCCCCGCGGCTGCGCGCCGGTCCTGGCCGCCAACGCCCGTCTCCGGGCGCTTGCGGGGCCGGAGACCGCAGCAAAGAGCGTGCGCACCTGCCCGCACGCCCCAGAGCCGACCTTTAAGAGCCGGCCGGCGGTTCCCCACGAGTCACCGGTGCTTGGAGGGCAGGCAGAAGAGGTACGGGAGTCTTGGGAGGTGCCCAACGGGCTACCAGGGTTGGTGGCGTGGGCTTGGTCACGTCGGGGGACCGCCAGCCTTTTGGCGCAGCTAGTCTGGTGGCGGGGCTGGGTGCAGCTTGGCTGGAGAGGTCCCGGACTGTGTGCGCAAGGGCCTGGGGATGTAAGAGAGGGGCTAAGAGATCAGCGAGGTGGTCATGAGCGGAAAGGTAAAGCGGAACAAGGAACAAGCTGGAGAGGGAGTCGCGCCTATCACCAGGGAACCCTACAACGCGTCCCCAAAGAGCGCGGCACCC